GAATAACCCCATTTGTAATAAATAAATATGTATGTAAGATGTGAATTAGCCATTAAATGACCACTTCAAACACCATAACCACTGATGATTTCAGCCAATAAGACCAAGGCTGCAGTTGTAGGTGTTAGGTGGAACTAAGGTAAGTCATCAAACCATTTTAAAAGGGGCTCACTATTTACATTGTGAGGGCACCAGGGAAACTCCTGACACCATAACTGCTATAGCAGGCTGCAATGGTTATTGTGCTTAGAGAATTCCTTTAAATTATTCTGAAAGTATCAGTCATTTTCTTATGTTTGCGATATAGTCTCTATACATATTGAACAGACTTGCTACTGGTTACATAACTTCTATAGCCATAGTCAGGCAGGGCAAGCTTTATATAGATAATGCACTAAAAATAAATTATAAAAAATAAACTACACAACCAGCCCAAGCTCCCCTTGAAACAACAACACTATTATCTATAGCCCAGGCCCTACAAGTGAGGCTGATTAAAAGACGAAGGCACACACTACCACCCAGACCCATATACTTAAACCCACATCAAGCTACATGACTACACTTAGCAGCCACCAAACTGCCTACACCCGATAACAACATAGCGTCTTCACTGCAGTTATCTCTAGCCTGCCTAAGCCACACAAATGGTGGTTCCCTTCCAACCCTTATAATGCTTTTTGTGGCAAGCTGTGGTCCATCAACTACCTAACCAGACCCAGCAGTTTGTAAAGGGTTGGCCAATCACAGACCAGCCAAGTCCTCAACATTCCAGGACTTGATGCTTCGGCCGCTACTTTTAGCCTTTTTCCAATTAAGGTACATTGTTACTTTGTTTGGGGGATATTTTTAATTCCATCTCATTGTTTCATCACCTTTTCGAATGTATTGTTTTTCAGGATGGCTGTAATGCTATCATAGAGCGCAAGCTAGCTTTAATCTTCATAACAGTTACAAAGTTTAATGGCAGTTAGCTACTGCAGTCAAATAATATAAGGCAGCTTTGGTTCTTTCAACTTATATTTTGCTATT